CCCTACACCCCCCCCCCCCCAAACACTATTCTTTTCATCTCATCTTTCTTTCCCACTTATCAAAACCATAACTTTCCACGTCGCCACTCTTTTATTTCTCTGAATTTCCACTTTTTAATTTCGGATTTTCTCTTTGCGATCTGCATTATTGCGCTTCTTTAGTTGCTTCTGTTCATTTTCAATGGGAATGGGAGGGTATTTCGTTTTCCATAATGCATCTGGGTCTATGAATCACGGTGATGAGTGATTCTAAAGTGGCTGACTCAGTAGATAAGATAAGCTTTCATTCCCAAATATTTTTGGTTGGATTGTATGATACCTTAATCGTTTTTAATAGGAATCATCCGCATCTTCTGCTTTGTTGATCTTAATCCTAGAGGTTTGATTGAGTTATATAATTTGTTAACTAGCATATAAATATAATTCGTATATTCTTGTGCCTCTTTTTTTTTCGGGTGATGAAAGATAGATTGTATATCTCCTCAAGGTGTTAATGTGAACTATGAATATGTTCTATCTAAGGGAACTTTATTGTGGGAATCTATGGTAATGTGAGAGTGGCAACAACATGGTTCCGTTTCATTTGTTTAGGATGGAAAAAAATGGTGTTGCATAGAAGGTGACACTGATGATTAGGAGTCTTATTTTTAGTTTTAGGTTTAACAATCCTTTTGGGACCTATAGTGTCATAAATTTTACTTTTTAGTTTCTTTAGTTAAAAATGTTTCATTTTAGTCCTTATACATACCATTTTTGTTACCTGTTCTTAATTTAATAATCAGGCAAATTAATTCATTGCACACTTTTACACAGTGACTGGGGCATAGGTAATTAGGTATGATCAAACACAGTTTAAAAATAAATAATACAATATAATGTAATAAGAAGTCTTCCTTAAACTTTTCTCAACCATACAAAATTAAATTTGCAATTAAACATTTATTTTAGGTTTTGCATCAAATCGGTGCTGAAGTTTCATGAGATTTTTTATGCTGCTTCACAACTTGGCTATTTTTCCCAAACCCAAGTGTAGTTGTGCAGTTCAATTAAGAGTTATTTCTATCAATTTGCACGGGTATCTTACTGGTGGAACCTTAAAAACAACTACAAATACGATCATACCTTCACAATCTCCCTCGCCTGCATGGTCATTGCCAACTTGGTCATTGTGTGCTGCTTTTGCATCTCTCTCTAGTACCTTTGCAGTTGGAAAGCGTAGAAGGATGAGTTGTTTTTTTTTTTTTTTTTAAAATCGGAGAAGGGGGGGAAAATTAAAAAATTTTTGTTTTTTTTTTTTTTTTAAAATCGGAGAAGGGGGGGAAAATTAAAAAATTTTTGTTTTTTTTTTTTTTTTAAAATCGGAGAAGGGGGGGAAAATTAAAAAATTTTTGTTTTTTTTTTTTTTTTAAAATCGGAGAAGGGGGGGAAAATTAAAAAATTTTTGTTTTTTTTTTTTTTTTAAAATCGGAGAAGGGGGGGAAAATTAAAAAATTTTTGTTTTTTTTTTTTTTTTAAAATCGGAGAAGGGGGGGAAAATTAAAAAATTTTTGTTTTTTTTTTTTTTTTAATAATCGTAGCAGGGTGAGCAAATGATAACATTTCTGATTTTTTGTTTTGTGTGTTTAAAATTTGTTCTGATATAATAAAACAAATCCCTCTCTCTCTACTTTAGGTTACTAAATTTTTTAAGAATAACATTTATCCTGATTGGAAAATGTATAGGAGAGAGACGCAAAAGCAGCACCCAATTAATTATTTTTACTTGGCCCAACTTTTTGTTAATATTTCTCTAGTTACTTCATGTTTTCTAATGTTCATGAGATTGCAAAACCAGAAACACATGGACTTTGGCTTGTATTTACCCTGGATTAAATATGTTTAGCCCCTAAACTTGTCATTTTTTTGCTTTTAGTCCTTGAACAAATGTTATTTGGTTTTAGTTCCTGAAATTTTATTCCATGAATAAACAAATTTGATGTCAAAGACCAAAATGTTAACAAGAGAAAAAGTTTAAGGGCTAAAATTAATAAAGAAATTTGTTCAGGAACTAAAACAAAAATTAACAAAGGTTCAAGAACTAAACATATATAATTCTTACTCTGGCCTCACTGATGAACAACATCTTGGTTTTGGTTTCGTACTTTTCCAGATCCACATTCTTGAATAACTTCACACTCGTTGTTAGTGCCTTCTATTTTTTGAAAATGGTGACAACATCTTTAGACTTTGGCGGGAACAATGAGAGGAAGGAAAATGAATGGTAGCTGGATAATAAAAGTTTGATGCATATAGAAAAAATATTTATGTGACATTGCTTATGTTAACCCCTTTTCTCATTCTTTATTTTTTCATCAAAGAGTAATGGGTTTATTTTATTTGAAGAGCTCATACTCTATGTATAGGCGCATTTGTGCATTTACAGAAGTGTTTTAGTTTATTTCTTTTAGTGAAAGTTACCTCTGATACATTTCCTTATAAGGTAATATGGGTATTGATATATGTAATGAGCAGAAGATATAAGGCATCGATTCATGTTCTATTTATGTGATGAGGTTACCTTTTTTTTTTCTTCTGTGCAGTTGATTTGATGAAGGCTGGAACTACAGTAATTCTTCGCAATGCAAAGATTGACATGTTCAAGGGATCAATGAGGCTGGCCGTTGACAAGTGGGGGCGCGTTGAGGTAACTGAACCTGCAAAATTTGTAGTTAAAGAGGATAACAACCTATCTCTGGTGGAATATGAATTGGTGAATGTGGTTGAAGAATAATCCCATAGAAGAGTGCAAAAACAGCTTTATGATTTGTTTATGGTGCAATGGATACCCTCAAGGTAAAACTTAACTGGTGATGGATGGGTTGGTATACATTCTCACTTTAATTATCCTGTATTTCCCCTTAAACATGCTTTACATCATTTTGGGTTAAGTTGATGTCACTTGAACAACCTTGTGTCAAGCGATCAAGATTTGCTATTATCTTCATCGGCAACTGTGTTCAATGAACTTAAGAAAAGTATAATATTTTGTTAATATAGTTCTCCATATTTTCTATGCATTTTCTTGTGCAGTGACTTGCAACTTATTTTTGTATTGTTGATACATGTCTTTGCAAATGAAATTCCAAGATCACAGTATCATTCATGCTTACAACTAATGGATGAAAAAAATGTCTATATTACTGATGGAGTTGGTTTTTATGATAACGAATTTTATTCTTCATTAGTGAATTAATGTCTTGAATTCGAAGCGTTAAGAGGCAATTGAAAATTAAATTATCATGAATTCGTTAGACAACACGTAAACTCTGTTTGAATTGACTTCGAGTCCTATCAATTACCAGAATGTTACAAAATTGTTGCCAGAAAAGTTGACATATATCATCCATATTTATTGGTTTATATCGATAAGCAGAGGTATTTATGTTTCGGTTATCGTTGTTTATTTTAATCTTCACCTATTGATTAAGGTACCCCAACTAGCAAGAATTGTTCTTGAACTTCTTTACATACCCCATTCTTAAAGGTGAACTTTTGTATACTGAAGACTCGATGCGTCCGTTGCTTTTCGGAGTTTTCATACTCATTCCTTGATACTCGTTGCTTTTCCGATAGCAAGACTAATTCCTATTTAACTGTACTTATCCTTGTTGGTATGGAATGTTTTTATATTTTATTACAACTTGTTTTCAGTCTAATATAAACGATCATTTATTGTTTCCCTAGAAAGGAAGTTAACACAACACGCACTGATTCTGTATTTCATGCAAATCAACTATTCTAACAAAGCAATTGTCAAAGCTATATTCTTCATTGCCTATTAAAATACATAAATCTTGATACTTTCTAATAAGCACTAAACATAAAAATGATACATCAATTTGCCCTCTATTTTTTAATTATTAAATTAATGAAAATCCATATTTAGTCTTAACATATCGTAACTAACAAATGCCGTTGTCCCTTCCACCCAAATGTTATACCAAAACTTATTTCCTTCATCTCCCCTTACTAGACCAACCTCTTTGCTCCACTCTCCACTGCCTAATGGAAAACTAATATAAATTTATATGAATCATTTCCTGGTGCAAATTTGTATGGCATGGAAGCATTGTAGATGGTCGTGTGAGATGCCTAGATGGGTTGAAAGGTCAAAGCAGCATTGCAAATAAAATGGACGCAACCTATTCGAATTCCCAAAATTCAGGGTTGCTTCTCCGACCATCTTCCACATGCCGCCAGAGGCTTATACGAGTAAAATTCGTGGAGGGTGGAATGGGATATATATGGTGGTAATAGACGGAGGATGAAATCATCATTTCATCTTTTTTATTTATTTATATATATATATATATATATATATATATATCTTATT